CGTTCCGTGTGCTGCGGTGGCTCGCCAGATGCAGCTTGTCACGCTGGCCACGTGACCCGGAAGTGTCTTCGGACAGCGCTGGCCCCCGGCCTCTTAAGTGAGATGGGCGCACAACCCGAGTCTGTCAAGACTGGCCCGTACGGGCAGGGGTACCTTTACCTTTACCTTATCCCATATTTTATTCTGTGAACCGTCTTGAGATCTTAGGATGAAGGGCGGTACATAAATCTAATCAAACAAACAAACAAACAAACAAACAAACAAACAAACACCTAACTTCCTGCTTTCAAGTCCTGAGACTTCCTGCTTCAAAAATGTCCCTACAGTCCATTCCTGAACAGAGATTAAATCGGTGGCAGGGCAGTGAACCTCCTTTCTCTATTTACTGCAGATGTCATTCTGCGCTTATGCACATTTTCAAAAGCATGATTTCCTCAATTCTTCCCCAAGCCAAGAGTTCACTTTAATGTTGAGAAAGCTGTCTTCTTAGTATTTCTCCATTCCTCTCGTATTACTTAACTGTTGAGCAGACCGAATTAATTCAGAGAGTATGATTTCCTAAGCCATATCTCATTAGCATTGGCTAGGTGGGAAGGTAAATGTATCCCATTTGTGACAGCCACCACAGAAATACTCAAACCTATAGTCTCACCACAACCTGGCGCTGTGGGTAAAAGCCTCAGCACCTAGGGCTTGCCGATCGAAAGGTCGGCGGTTCGAATCCCCGTGGCGGGGTGCGCTCCTGTTGTTCGGTCCCAGCGCCTGCCAACCTAGCAGTTCGAAAGCACCTCCGGGTGCAAGTAGATAAATAGGGACCGCTTACTAGCGGGAAGGTAAACGGCGTTTCCGTGTGCGGCTCTGGCTCGCCAGAGCAGCGATGTCATGCTGGCCACGTGACCCGGAAGTGTCTCCGGACAGCGCTGGCCCCCGGCCTATAGAGTGAGATGGGCGCACAACCCTAGAGTCTGGCAAGACTGGCCCGTACGGGCAGGGGTACCTTTACCTTTACCTTTATAGTCTCAGAGGCCGCCTGTGGCTTGATAAACAACTATCTGACTTTTAGAAGACATCTGAAGGCAACCCTGTGAAGTGAAGCTTTTAATGTTTGATGTTTTATAGTGTTTTTAATATTCTGTTGGGAGCCACCCAGAGTGGCTGGGGAAACCCAGCCAGATGGGCGTGGTATAAATAATAAATTATTATTATTACAGTCAAATCTCAGTTGTCGAATGTAATCCGTTCCGGAAGACTGTTTGACTTCCAAAACGTTTGACAACCAAGAATCAAAGGGCAGTCTGCAATGTCAATGGAGAAAAAAGTAAAAAACTCCCCAGAAGCGGTTTGGCTTCCGAAAAACGTTCGAAAACCAGAGCATTTACTTCCAGGTTTTCAGGAGCCAAAACATTCCAAAACGGAGCCATTCAAGAACCAAGGTTTGACTGTGTTATATTACTATTATTGTTGTTGTTATTATTATTGTTAAAAAGGGACCCCTGACCATTAGGTCCAGTCACGGACGACTCTGGGGTTGTGGCGCTCATCTCACTTTATTGGCTGAGGGAGCCGGCGTACAGCTTCCGGGTCATGTGGCCAGCATGACTAAGCCGCTTCTGGCGAACCAGAGCAGCGCACGGAAACGCAGTTTACCTTCCCACCAGAGTGGTACCTATTTATCTACTTGCACTTTCTGCTTTCGAACTGCTAGGTTGGCAGGAGCAGGGACTGAGCAACGGGAGCTCACCCCGTTGCAGGGATTCGAACCGCCGACCTTCTGATCAGCAAGCCCTAGGCGCTGTGGTTTAACCCACAGCACCACCCGCATCCCTGTTATTGATACGCAGCAATAAAACCCCACAGCACAAAATGTAAGCTTCCCATTACAAAATGATACCGTTATACTGGTGTTATGAGAATTATAAGGTCTAAGATATAAAATAAATGTTCATAAATGTACAAGGCAAACACATACATAAGTATATAAGCCATGTGTCTGAAATAGGAGAACCACCCAGAAGCCATTTTGACCCTCCCAAATTGACCTCAAATATTTATCTGCAAGGAGGAAGGAAATGAGAAAACCCACCATTGTATCTTTGCTCACAAATCCTGCCTTAAGGGTGTATCTGTGTATGAATAGGGTGAGCCTGTGACCTGGATTCAGGAACTAAGTATTTAGCATCTCAAAAGGAATGGCCAGGCTGCCCAGGTAATACAGTCAATGAACATTATTAGGTACCCTGGCAAACAGGATTTCTGCTGTAGACCACCTCCTCTGCTGTTGACTGCCTCCTTCTGTGATGTATGTATAATGTTTCAGGGGGGTGGTCTTGTGCTATAGGGTGGGCAATTTCAAAAGTCTATATAAGAGCTTGCACATCGTTTTGGGTTCCTCCTTCCTCCTGTGTGTGGGGGCGGTGGGCGGTGTGAGCACCCTTTTGCAACAGTTTAATAAAGATCAGGCTTACTAGCCACTTTGCTTCTCAATATTCTCTGGTTGGCCTGTTACTTTCTCCTACCGATAGTGAACCTACGTAATGACTCTATACAGGCTCTTGGATACCCCATAAGGGAAAAGGAGCACTGGGGTGGAAGGGAGGTGGGAACTGAAGTTCTCACCCTGGGCCAGCAGGGGGATACTGTTAAGTTCACTCACAACTTAACAGGAACCTTTCCCAATCCAAGGGCTGTATTCAAGGGCCATAGGTAAACGACAACTCAACATATGAATTTCCAGGAACAACATTTTTAGAAGTTTCGTTTTAGAGACAGTCCCCTTCAGACCTTGCCCTGAGTGGAATTTGGAAAATGCTTTGGCTAAAAAGGAAAGCTCTAAAAGGAAGCTTGCACCAAGCCAGTACAAACATATCTGAGAATGAAAACATACAATCTTGCCAAATTCAGGACAAACAATAGTATGGAACAGCCAAGTTGACTCTTTGGGGTCATTAGCCTCTGATATCCAGTCCACCGCTAGATAGGGATGGAAAGATCTGTCAATTTCAGTACTCACAGTCCTCATTTCCCCAATATTAAACTCGACTCTCCATATTTCTGCAGCAGTTTGTGATTAAGAAACAAAAATCCTCATGAAGGTTCTTCAGCATTTTAGTGCAAATTCTCCTGAGAATGCGATTTTTCTATGCAGTTCTGCCATGTACACACTTTCGCAAGCAACGTAATTTCAATTTAGCATTTTTGTATGTTTTCAAGAATATGTTCACGCACAGGTTCCTCACGTATATGTGGTTGTGTTCTTTTTGTAAACGCTGGCTGGCTGGAGAACGGAATTTAAAAACCTTGGCAAGCATGAATTTCAAACGATGGCTGTTTTGGCTCTCCTACTGTTTCAGAACTGGATCGGTTCGGCTTTGAACCTGAACTGAACTGAATCTCTTCTCCTATCCCTACTGCTGTAAAACTGTTGTGAAGTTTTAACCACAGGGGCCCTGGCCCAATTCTGTGCGCGTCTAGAAGTGGACTGCTGCACACTCTGTTAACACCACTTACAAGTCCCACTTGGTAACTTTACTGAGATACCGTATTGGCCTGAATATAAGCGGCACTCAAATATAAGCCACACCTTTAAAATTAGAAAATTGGAAAGAAAAAAATACCCGAATATAAGCAGTTTCCATGCTCACTGCTCCTGGCTGCATACTGGAAGGGGGAGCTGTGCTATGTTCCTGACTGTCGTGGTCCGGTCTATAGGCGATCGAAGTCCCGGCTGAGGACGTCGGGACCAGGGGCAAGATGGCGGGGTGGGAGCAGGAACAATAGTCCAGAAGCCATTGGTCCGAGGGTCAGGAAGCAGGGAGTCAAGAAGCCGAGGTCTGAGGATCAGGAAGAAGCCAAACGGAGCAAGGCAGGAAATGAGTTGCTGTGGCAAAGAGCCGAAGGGAAATGCTGACCCTATATCCCTTTCCAGCTCTTGACACCAGGTGCGAGTTACGAAGCAGCCTCACCTGTGTGACCGTGCCTTGCCTCTTCAGAACAAACTTAGGAAGGCCCCAGTCCTGCGAAGCCCTACTGGTCACAGGGCCTGGCTCCTGCCCACACTCCTGACACCGATGGCCTTTTCTCTTCCTCGCTCTCTCCCTTCCTGGTCTTGTGGGAGAGGATGGGGGACTACATGCGGGGTGGGCGCCGCTTTGCAGTGCTCCTGGCGCTGTTTGTCCTGTGCTCCTGGCTGCATACTGTAAGGTCGCGAATATAAGTCATACTTTAACTTATCATGGTCGGAATTTGGGGGGAAAGTGAGGCTGATATTCAGGCCAATACGGTAATTGGTGATAAGTGAATCATCTTTTTGTGGGAAGAGCTCAGTCCAGCCCCTGCTCTCCCTTCTCAATATTGATAGGACTATGTCATCCCGCATTTGCTCATGAATGCTCTAGTATTAGGTCAACTGAGCATGAACTTGCTCTCTACAGAGTCTACTGTTTTATGGAATTTGAAGGTGGTTGTACTGCAATTCTATTTGTGGTTTCACTTAAAGAAGATAAACATTTTAAAGAAAACATAGATAAATGAAGGAGCGTCTCTACCTCCATCGTGCAACCTGGACACTGAGGTCCAGCTCCGAGGGCCTTCTGGTGGTTCCCTCATGACATGAAGCTACAGCGAACCAGGCAGAGGGCCTTCTCGGTAGTGGCACCCACCCTGTGGAACACCCTCCCATCAGATTTTTAGAAGACAACTGGAGGCAGCCCTGTTCAGGGAAGTTTTTTAATGGTTGATGTTTTATTGTGTTTTTCATATTTTGTCGGGAGTCGCCCCGAGTGGCTGGGGCAACCCAGTCAGATGGGCGGCATATAAATAATAAAATTATTATTACAAATGTAGTTTTGAGCTACTGAAAGTCTGTGTGTCATAGAAACTAGTCCATCAAAAGGTATCCTGCTCTTCAGCCAAATGGGTAGCGACCCCTTCCGCCTCCTGAAAACATTGCAAATAAACGCAATTCGCATTTCATTACATGTAAGAAAACTTCAAAATAAATATGTAGCGGAATTTTTTTTTTCATTACAAAAGGATGTATATTTACACAGAGGAAGCTGAGTAACAACTATTAACCAGCTCAAAGAAGCTTACAAATCCTTGGTGCAAAGTCTCTAAAATGGCTAGAACTACAAAAAAACCTCAAAAGTTTTCCCCATTTTTTCACAAAACCGTCGTTCTCCTTTCCCCTTCTTTATCTCTTCATCTTCCTTAGAACTACTGCAGGTCATTTGGTAAACGTAACAGCTGTAGATCCTGCTGGGCTTCTGTTCTATGTGCACAACTATATTTCTGTCAAAGTAAACTTCATGGTTGTACGTCTGCATGGAGAGAACAAAGAAAACAGTAATTTTCATTTCAGGTAGGCAGGGTGGGGAAGGTACTCCTATGACACACAGGGCTTTGCGGCGAACAACACCTCAGATATGACATCCCTCTGCAGCAAGCAAGTTATAACATGAAGCTTGCGCTAACCAGCGAATATAAACTCTACTCCAGAGTGATGGGGAACCCATGGCTCCCCAGACGTCGGATAACTCCTTCCATCATCCCAGACCATTGGCCATGGCAGGGGCTGATTGGGACTTGGGGATTAGGTGGAGCCTCAGCTGCATAGCTGTCAACTTACAGATTTGAAAATAAGGGATCAGCAGCCAAAATAAGGAATTTTAGTCAACCAGCAGCCAAACAAAGCCTCAAGCGGTGGTTCCCACAGCGCAGTAACCCGGCAAAGGGGATGCAGCAAGGAAAACCACCGTCACCTCTCTGCTGGGAAGCGCTGAGCAAAGGCGAGTCCCCAGGCAACGCGGCTGATTTGATCGGCACAAAGCATGTAAGCTCCACCCCCCAGTCGTTCTTAGACTCCTTATTGGGTAAGCAATGCAGCCAAGCAACACAGTTGGAGCCTCCCTCATCCCTGGCCGGCAGGGAGGGAGCTGCTTCCTTTGAAACCCGGGAAATTTAAGGGACTTCATCAATAAAGGACAGCAGCGGGACACGGTGCTGGGATAAGGGACTTTCCCGCCAAATAAGGGACGGTTGACAGCTATGCTCAGCTGGCAGGGCAGGGAGGAGAGAATGAGAGGAAGGAAAGCAGAGACGGAGGGAGGAGTCTGCTGTGATGCAACAGAACTGGCAGCTGCTGAAGGCAAAAAGTGGCTGGATGGAGCCTGCAGCTCGCTGGGGGTGTTTTGTTCAATCAACTAGCAAAGCGCTCATTGTCAACAGGTAAAGGACCCCTGGGCGGTTAAGTCCAGTCAAAGCCAACTGATTAAAAGTTCATACTGAGTCGTCTTTTATTTATTTATTTTTTAAAAGAAAAACCAAGAGTGACACTCAATCATTTTTTTAAATAAACGGCAAAGCTGTTTCAGGGAAGGATGAGCAGGGCAAGGGGTGAGGGGTATCGAAACCTCCAGTGAGTCAGCACTGTGCCCAGCCAGCTTCTGGTTCCAACTTATAGAACTGGTTTTTCAGCTCTGGAACAAAAAAGGCACAACTGACAAGAAGCGTGCACCCTGAGCCCAGACACGGTTGTTTCTGGGAACAGTGATACAGTCATACCACGGGTTGAATACGCTTCAGAATGGGTGCTTTCGGGTTGTGCTCCGCGGCGACCCGGAAGTAACGGAACGCGTTACTTCCAGGTTTCGCTGCTCGCGAAAGCGCAGACAGTCAAATGACGTCATGCGCATGCGTGGAAGCAGCGAATCGCGACCCGCACACACGCGTTCGCTTCAGGATGCGAACGGGGTTCTGGAACGGATCCCGTTCACATCCTGAGGTAACACTATACACCCTTTTGCACATTTCCCCCCGATGGGATTTCTGTTGGATCTCTCCATTTGGAACACGAATGGCACATGGCAGCTGGATGAACAACGGGACGTTAAGCGGAGTGACTAATGAAAATGTACTGTACTTTTCCGTCTATAAGACGCCCCCCATGTATAAGACGCCTCCTATTTTTGGGAACTCAAATTTAAGAAAATGGGGGGAGATTGCATAGAGTTGTTGAGCTTTTTTGGGGGGATTGGCAGGGTTGCTGAGCTTTTTTAGGGGGGTATTTGCACTGCAAAACCCGCCTCCCGCCTGTTGCCTTGCCGCCAGAAGCTGCCAATCGCCCGCCCAACTGCCGCAGCATCAGCCGATCAACACCACCCATTGATGCAGAAGCCAGTAACATGCACAATAGCCACTGGCAGCTGCGGCAGCAAGCAATCAAACGTCCGCCCTATGCACTACCCGTGTATAAGACGGCCCACACTTTTTAGCATGGTTTTTAAAGAAAACAACATAGTCCTATACACGGAAAAGTACGGTATGTTAAGTGGGATTATACTCACCACATCCCAAGATTCCGCAAACGGAATGCTCTTAAGTCGAGTCCCGAACTCATTGCAGTGGAAATCAAGGTGGGCGGCCCCATCAGCTCCTATCTGAGTAACTGCCACAACGGACAGTAAATTCAGTTCATCTTCATAGTCCACAATTTTGAAAGTCTTATTAAAAACAGGAGCTCGGGTTACTCAGAAAGTTAAGTTGTTTAGCCACAGTTTTTTTAAAACTCCTCCTAGCTATTGCCCAGGTAAAAACAAACAGACGGAAGACTAGTAAGTCTAAAAGAAGTTTCGGGAAGCTTTTAATGTTTAATAGACTATTGTATTTTAATATTTTGTTGGAAGCTGCCCAGAGTGGCTGGGGAAACCCAGCCAGATGGGAGGGTATTAATAATAATAATAATAATAATAATAATAATAATAATAATAATAATAACAACAACAACTAAAGTGGTACCTCGGGTTACATACGCTTCAGGTTACATACGTTTCAGGTTACAGACTCCGCTAACCCAGAAATAGTACCTCGAGTTAAGAACTTTGCTTCAGGATCGGGGCCTCCCGCTGCCACCGGAGCACATTAGCTAAAGTGGTGCTTCAGGTTAAGAACAGTTTCAGGTTAAGAACAGACCTCCAGAACGAATTAAGTACTAAACCTGAGGTACCCACATTATTATTATTATTATTATTATTATTATTATTATTATTAAACGGCTGTAATTTATAAATGGTCCTGTCATCAATTGCTGCCTCTTGCTTTCCAGCCATTTGAGTTTTTGATACTTTTCACTTGGAGCCTCTAGAAGCATGATCTCTCTGTGTGTCTTAGTTGGGGTGCAGTCCCCAAATCCAGGAAAATATTTTAAAGTTTTTCATGGTGAAAAGGGCCCAATTCAAAGTGCTGGTTTTGACCTATAAAGCCTTAAACGGCTCAAGACCGCAATACCTCAAGGACTGCCTCTTTCCATATGAACCTACCTACCCAGACCCTGAGATCATCTTCTGAGGCCCTCCTTCGTGTGCTGCCTCCTCAAGAGGTCCGGAGGGTGGCAACACAAGAACGGGGCCTTCTCTGCAGTGGCTCCCCGTCTGTGGAATGCTCTCCCCAGGGAAGTTCGCCTGGTGCCTTCATTACACACCTTTAGGTGCCACGCAGAAACGTTCCTTTTTAACCAGGCCTTTGGTTGATATCCTATGCCCTTTTGAAATGCAGCTTTTTGGGGAGGGGTTATTGGGTGGTTGTTTTTATTCCAATTATATATTTTGTGGTTTTATATTTTGATTTTGTTCTGTGAACCGCCCTGAGACCTATGGGTATAGGGCGGTAGATAAATCCAATAAACAATAATAATGGTAATAATTTAAACCATAAAACCCAACAGCAGGCATACCATGGGTAAAATTCCGCCTGCTTGCGTGTTTTCTCCCTCTTTCTAAATTTGGTAACTGAATATAAATGAACTACAGGTTTTAAAGGCCATGGAGGAACCCTTGCCATGTTTTTCACCCAGACGGTATTCATTTCCATGGAAACAAGGCTGCAGATAGTTTCCAGAAGCGGAGGAATTAGAATTCTTGTGGCTGTGTCATCTCGGCTCCAGTTCCTGAAGGGAGGGTGAAAAATGGATTCCAAAAATAGTTGCTAATGATGCTGGGGGCACACTGTTCAGATCTGTAGTGTTTTGCTTAGGTTGTTTACCGTCCTTCTCCATGAACCTCAGGCTTGCAAATAGCAGGAAATCGGTCGCAGGCACTGCAGCGTGCAGTCAAACCAGACAGTCAGAGAACCAAAATGCTCACCGGCCAATTAGATTCCCTGTACATTTCACGATATCTAGGACAGTGCTAGCCTGACATTTCTAAAGCATAGCCTAATATTACGCTGGACTAGTACCCCTCATCCCCCCCCCCCCCCGCGAACAGAGAACACAAAAAGCTGTCTTTTTAGCGGGAAAGTTAGTTTCCCAGGTGTGTGCTGGCAGATTCCTAGCTGACCAGTGGTGGACTAGAAAACAAAGAGATCAAAATGGGGGGAAAGCAAAAGCAAAAGGAATGGGTATACAGTGGTACCTCGGGTTACATACGCTTCAGGTTACATACGCTTCATGTTACAGACTCCGCTAACCCGGAAATAGTGCTTCAGGTTAAGAACTTTGCTTCAGTATAAGAACAGAAATCGGGCTCTGGCGGCGTGGTGGCAGCAGGAGGCCCCATTAGCTGAAGTCGTGCTTCAGGTTAAGGACAGTTTCAGCTTAAGAACAGACCTCCAGAACGAATTAAATACTTAACCCGAGGTACCACTGTATAGCAGAGTTCCTGTTGTTCCCAGCTTGAACTCAGATACATTTGACAACGTTTAAATTAGCAGGGTGTGTGTGTGTGTATGTGTGTGGTTGTACACACGAGTAAGTTATATTTTATATGAACACACAAACGTTTGCATAAAACTATGTTGTACTCAGAGAAGGCCCACTGAAATCAATGCACCTAAATCAGTTATGCCCATTGATCTCAATGGTTCTACTCTGAGCAGAACTAGCATCAGATACAACGCAAGTTCTACAATGCCAACGAGGCTCATTTCATGAGTTGCCTTATTCAAGATCACAGAATTTTTTGTTACCTCTTGCCCAGGGTCATCATCCAGTAGTGTCATACGTTTCTTCACAACTCGGCCAGACGCTGTTACCGTTACAGAGTTCTTAATCTTTGAGATTAAAATATGGAGACAAGGGAGAGAGAGAGAGAGAAAATGAGACAAATAGTAAAATTAAGGACAACGCTAACTGAAGTTTTTGTTTGCTTTTTTGTTTGTTTGTTAAATATGGATTTTAAGCAGGTTTATACTTAAGGACAGGTTGGTTAAAGTTTCAAAACGATTTGAAAAATGCGCACTGCATCTAGAAAAAACACAGACACTTAGGCATCTTTGCTGAAAAGATTTAAAGGATAATTACCAAGCATTCTGGAGAATAATGAAGTCAACAGTACATTCTCAACCGCCGCAGCAGAAATACAGACTTATAGTCACTGCACTCCAGAGAAGTAGCTTTTAAGCTTGCTGGGTATTTATTTATAGCACAGAAAAGCTAGATAAAGATTCTTCACTGTTGTTTATTCAAAACCACATTCAAAATACTGTTTGAGCTGTTTCTCATCCTCCCTTTATTAGCTATGTTATTTCTCTCTCATAACTATGTCCTAGCTCATTAAAAACAATACAATTCAATGTCACAGTAAACAACATTTAATAGTTTGTTGTGAATGTGCCGATCTAAGCTGTTTGTTTCTTCCCTGCTTAGTGTTATGTCTGAACCAGATTTGTTTCACAGAAGCATACAAGTTAGAAGGGATCCTAAGGGACATCTAGTCCAACCCCCTGAATACAGGAATCACGGCTCAAGAATCCCTGACAGAGGGCCATCGAAGCTCTCTATAAAAACCTCAAATGAACCCACTACTTTCTGAGGTACTCTGCCCATTTTGCTCCGAAAAAAACATGTTCAGGAAACCAAGAACAAACCTTGGCTACTGGCTGTGGTTTGCTAGGAGGGAAACAAACCATAATCCCTGTTTTCAGACAGAATGGTAAGCCAGTTATTGTGTCCCGTCCCTCTCGCACCAACGCACAAGGAGAGAAGAGCTAAGATGATGCAAATTGCTTATGTCTTACTGCAACACGCAACGCAGACGTTCAAACAACAGCATCATATTATGTCGCTGACTGCTCAGTGTTTAGATCTAAGCACCTCTCACGCGGGGACTGTGGTTTGGTAATTAATGTTTCTCCAACATCTCACAGCTCTTCCCCCATTCCTGCTATAAATCAGGAGGTAAATAGCGTACAGGAAGTAAGAGCCATGGAAAATAAAAGCCATGGAAATCCAGGTTCTAAGCAAGAGTAGGGAACCTGTGGCCCGTCATATGTTGCTGGGCTCCTGCTCCCATCTTCTCTGACCACTGAACATGGAGGGCTAGGGCTGATGAGAGTGCCCAAACTAGAAAACATTTCTTCTTTTTAAATAGCTTAAAAACCCTGTTTGAATACCCTGCCTCCACGTTCCCAAGCTTTGCTCTACAACCACAAAGATTGGAAGCCTTTTCGTTTCCAAAACAAAATCTAGTTCTTAGAAAATAAACAACACAGTGGTACCTCTGAAGACGAACGGAATCCGTTCCAGAAGTCCGTTCGACTTCCAAAACATTCAGAAACCAAGGCACGGCTTCCGATTGGCTGCAGGAAGCTCCTGCTGCCAATCGGAAGCCACAGAAGACGTTCGGGTTCCAAAGAACGTTCGCAAACCGGAACACTCACTTCCGGGTTTGCGGCGTTTGGGAGCCAAAACGTTCGACTCGCAAGGCGTTCAGGATCCAAGGTATGACTGAAATAACAGTAGTTATTTTTAGCTCCACTTGGTACACAGAGACTAAACAATTTAGCAACTTACACACAAGGGGCAAATCCCATCTTTCTCTAACGTTAGCAACTTTTTCTTGATAGGCTTTGACAGCAGGCATTTTTTCCTCAAGGAGGATTTTTGAATGTAGCACCGCTATATTTTCAAAGCTGCCTGACCCCTTATCTGAAAAAGCTGCCCTATATGTCAGTTTGTGAGCTGCACCTAAACTTCAGGTCTTCAGATGCAAGTCATGAATAACTCATGGTGAGTTTCTAGGTCTTCTCAATGGTACGTTTTTGTGATCTCCTTCCATGCAACTACTTTCAGATGCAATGGAAACATTTTAAAGCCACACATCCCTAAACAGTTAACGGCTTCAGCATAGGGTCAAGCCTGCCTCTTGCTACACAATGGCCACAAAGGATTGATTCACACTCATGAATCTTCATCACCTGATAACCATTCATGCATCCAGCTCAAAGTTGTCTCCACTGAAAAGTACTGACGCAGGTGAACAGAGAAGTTTTGACTGTGAATGAGTGAGGAAGCTGCAGGTGTGAACTAGCGCTAAATGAAAGTTAATTTCTCCCCATCTGAGCTAGAGCTGAAATGAGATGAGTGGTCTCTACAATATACAAATTGCACAAATAAAGAAGTTTAATAATAACAATAATAACAACAACAATTCAGGTTTGTTGTTACATTCTCACATTATTTCTCCTGTTGGCCCGTATGACAAAGTCTTCCGTAACTTCCTGCTGTTCTGCGTTATTTTCAGATTCCTTCAGCTTCAAAACTCTGGTTGAGAAGAATGAAACCAAGAGAGTCACGTTCACAGGAAGGTGTGATGGGGGAAAAAACCACTAATTTCACAGCCACTACGCATTCAGAGATGGAGTGATGGAGTCAGGGACCAGCACATTTTTAATATGCACATATTTGGCATCTTTTGGGTAGCAGCATCAGAACCTGCCATATGTCAGACCATACAATGCTGCTTCTTGTGTTCCTGTGTGTAATGGTGGTATCAAAGGGCATGATCCAGGACTCTGTTGCATACATGCAAGTGCACATGCAGGTAAAGCATTTCTACTTTAATTCTTTGAGAATCCAGAAATTAATCACCTTTGAAAATATAAACTGGAAGATCTAGCTACGGGATATTGCTATAAATTCATGTTGGGTGATTCAAGATCATGATAAACAATGAACCTCCAATAAAGAAATAAAGATGAATAAACAGGATGCCTCCAATAAGCTTGAAGGCAACAAACCCACCATTGATACATGCCTCCAGCATATAGTATCCACATATATACAGTGGTACCCCGCAAGACGAATGCCTCGCAAGACGGAAAACCCGCAAGACGAAAGGTTAGCTGCCGAAGCGGGGAGGGGGGCGGAGACACCTGCCCCAGCCGCCCCACTTCGGAAAGCTGTTCCGAAGTGGGGAGGGGGGGCGGGGACACCTGCCCCAGCCGCCCCACTTCGGAAAGCTGTTCCGAAGTGGGGAGGGGGGGCGGGAACACCTGCCCCAGCCGCCCCACTTCGGAAAGCTGTTCCGAAGTGGGGAGGGGGGGCGGGGACACCTGCCCCAGCCGCCCCACTTCGGAAAGCTGTTCCGAAGTGGGGAGGGGGGGCGGGGACACCTGCCCCAGCCGCCCCACTTCGGAAAGCTGTTCCGAAGTGGGGAGGGGGGGCGGGGACACCTGCCCCAGCCGCCCCACTTCGGAAAGCTGTTCCGAAGCGGGGCGGGGGGCGGGAACACCTTCTGAAGGCGGGCAGGGGGCGAAAGTCTTTGTCCCCCTGCCTGCCTTTCCCAGGGGCTTTAAAATCCCCCGGACAGCGGAGAAGTCCTCCGCTGTCCGGGGGCGATTTTAAAATGCCGCCCGCCAGCATTTTAAGATCGCCCCGGACAGCCGGAAGAAGTTTCCTCCGCTGTCCCAAGGGTTTTTTTAAAATGCTGGGGGTGGGAAGAAAAGCCCTTGTCCCCCCCCCAGCCTTCAGAAGAGGTAGCGGGGACAGACTGTCCCCAGACTGGTGCTGAAGGCGGTTTTCCCCTAGGAACGGCATTAATTGATTTTCCAATGCATTCCTAATGGGAAACCCTCTGAACATGTAGGTTCCATTTAGCTATCACGGCTATGAATTTGCCTAACCCTTTCCCAAAAACATCTATAAGGACACGGAAACCATGGCCAATCAGACGTTCAGCTTGGACAGCTAAAGGTAAAAAGGTAAAGGACCCCTGGATGGTTAAGTCCAGTCAAAGGCGACCATGGGGTTGTGGCACTCATCTCGCTTTCAGGCCAAGGGAGCCAGCATTTGTCAGCAGACAGCTTTTTCGGGTCACGTGGCCAGCATGACTAAACCGCTTCTGTTGCAACGGGACACCGTTACAGAAACCAGAGCGCACAGAAACGCTGTTTACCTTCCCGCTGGAGTGGTACCTATTTATCTACTCGCACTGGCATGCTTTCGAACTGCTAGGTTGGCAGGAGCAGGGACAAAGCAACGGGAGCTCACCCCGTCGCAGGGATTCGAACCGCCAACCTTCTGATCGGCAAGCCCAAGAGGCTCAGGGTTTTAGACCACAGCGCCACCTGCAAGCTTGGACAGTGAATCCCTCAATGAAGACTAAAGAACGAGTCACAGGTAGGCACAGGCTACTTTCACGGCAAGACTTACTTAATCAAACTTGGTCCCACATGCAGCACTCTTCCAGAAGTGTCTGGGTGGAAAGATATCCAGTCAGGTTCCAACGAGGAACATTCCATATCCTGGATGCCGTTCTTTGCCTGGAATGATGGAACAAAACATGTAAGTTATCTCAGACAAACACAGAAGAGACTCCTCTGTCTAATGTACACTGAGAAGTTATAGCACGCATTTGTATCCTGATCTTCCTAGAAGGAAGTATGGGGTGTTGTCCTATTTTAGGTAACTTAACATTGGTTTCCACAGTCCAAATTCGCCCCACTTCTCACAGAATATTGTTCAATATCTCATCCCAGAATACAATCCATTTGGCTAACCTTGCAGTTCTGTTTTCAACCCATATTGACTACTAAGAAATCTATTCCTGGGGGACACAAAGAGTGTAAACAAAACATGCAGTTTTCCATCTAATTTATTACAAGGGTACTTTACCAAAGTAATTTAAAAAAGGGATGAGCTACGACAGGTATGAGCCCTTCAGATTTTGATGCCAAAGCAATTAGACTGAAACACAATTTAATGCTTGCCTGTATAAATTGACTACTAACTGGATACGACACCTTCCCTGAGTATTTATTTTTTTAAAAAAAACACACACGAGGTGGGGAACCTGTGGCCCTCCAGATATTGTCATGCTCCATATCCCATCAGCCCATAGCTGTTAAAGTTTCCCTTTTTTAAAGGGAAATTCCCTTATTCCGAATAGGATTCCTCGCAAGAAAAGGGAAAAGTTGACAGCTATGCATCAGCCCCAACAAGCACATAGCTGTGCTGATGTAAGTTGCAGTACAAAGTGGGCGCCACGTTGGGAAAAGCTGCTTTAAATACTGAACCCACTATTTTCGCCCTGCTGCCTCCAAATATTATTGTAAGGTTGCAAGGAAGGTGGGCAGAAGATGCACATCTTTGCAACAGGAAAACAGCCGCTCAAAAGTATGTGGCATACGTCTTGCTCACATCCTGGGATCTTATCCCTAGATTTTGTACAGTGGTGCCCCGCAAGACGAATGCCTCGCAAGACGAAAAACTCGCTAGACGAAAGGGTTTTCCGTTTTTTGAGTCGTTCCGCAAGACGAATTTCCCTATGGGCTTGCTTCGCAAGACGAAACGTCTTGCGAGTTCTTGCGAGTTTGTTTCCTTTTTCTTAAAGCCGCTAAGCCGCTAATAGCCGCTAAGCCGTTAATAGCCGCTAAGCCGCTAATAGCCGTGCTTCGCAAGACGAAAAAAACCGCAAGACGAAGAGACTTGCGGAACGGATTAATTTCGTCTTGCGAGGCACCACTGTATTCATGTCTGTGCTTAATCCAACAATACAAGGATGTTTCCTTATATAGTAGTACCTTGGGTTACATACGCTTCAGGTTACAGACTCCGCTAACCCAGAAATAGTACCTCGGGTTAAGAACTTTGCTTCAGGATGAGAACAGAAATCATGCTCCAGCAGTGCAGCGGCAGTGGGAGGCCCCATTAGCTAAAGTGGTACCTCAGGTTAAGAACAGTTTCAGGTTAAGAACGGACCTCCAGAACGAATTAAGTACTTAACCCGAGGTACCACTGCATACAAACAGAAGACAGGGCAAGCTAACGTTGAACGTGATTCTACATACGCGACTCTATCTTGAAATGGGGCAATGAGGGAAACACAAGTGAAAAATGAGAAATGAATCATGGAAACGTAGAATAGTAGAGTTGGAATAGAATTATCTAGTCCAACCCCTTGCAGTCCAGGAATCTGCGACCTTGAGATTAAAAGTCTCATGCTCTACCGACTGAGCTCTTAGGAAATAATGCTGAATGGTTCTCTTCCTTTTTTACACACCCACGATTTTCTGATTGATAATCAATATGTGACACTTGAACAGCTTTACCAAAGCGTGGTCTTTCAATGAACAAACGTGGAAGATTCCTCTCTGCTTTTTCTTGTTAGGAGTGATGATGTAATGCCAAGGGTAGCCTCCAATTTGAAATGTGTTCTCCAGGGAAGATACTTCAAAAAGCAGATCTGGGGTACCTGCGAATGTTAACATGAACAGCTTCATAATTCCATTTGTTCTTCGGTAAAGCTTTAAAAATCACACACACAAGAGTTTACGGCCACTAAACACCGAAAGTTTATAGTGCAACAATGATTATGCGGAACCCTGCAACCTTGCTTTCAATTAGCAGTACACAAAACAGACACCTGGACAATATAATAAAGGCCACAAGAAATCACATTTTCCCTTTACAGGTTGTGTTTATTTTATTACCGTATTTTTCGCTCTATAAGATGCACCAGACCATAAGACGCACCTAGTTTTTGGAGGAAGAAAACAAGAAAAACAATATTCTGAATCTCAGAAGCCAGAACAGCAAGAGGGATATTTTTGCTGCGCAGCAAAAGCAGTGATCCCTCTTCCTGTTCTGGCTTCTGGGATAGCTGCACAGCCTGCACTCGCTCCATAAGACGCACACACATTTCCCCTGGCTTTTTAGGAGGGAAAAGGTGAGTCCTTATAGAGCAAAAAATACGGTAATTTGTGAATCGCCTTTCATGTATGTCTCAGGGCATTTCACAAGTATAGTATATAAGGTAAAGGTAAAGGTAAAGGTACCCCTGCCTGTACGGGCCAGTCTTGACAGACTCTAGGGTTGTGCGCCATCTCACTTAAGAGGCCGGGGGCCAGCACTGTCCGGAGACACTTCCGGGTCACGTGGCCAGCGTGACAAAGCTGCTCTGGCGAGCCAGAGCCACACACGGAAACGCCGTTTACCAATAGTCAAAAACAGTTTACAAAACAGTACGAAATGACCATTAAGGATAGCTTGCCGGAACAAAAATATCTTCAATTGTTTCTACAAAGTACACATGTTAGGTGCCTGCCAACTCTCATAAGACATGCTGAAAGCCCAGTAGCTCAGAGCTACTGTGGAGTGGGCTTATAGTATTTTAGAAACTTAAAGGAAGAAGTCTCCCGGATAATGCAGTGACCTATTTCATACATAAGGGATAATGTGGTCTCCTAAGTAACCTGGTCCTGAGCTGCACAGCGCCTTGTATGTTAGCACCAAAACCTTGAAGTTTGCCTGGTAACGGATTGGTTGCCACTGCAAAACTTGCAAGCAATATGCTGGCGATAGTTTGCTCCCCAAAGCATTCTGAACCCATGTGGAGCAAATTGCAGTTATCCAATCTTGCATGGACAGTAGTGGTCAAGCTAGTGCCTGATCCAGGAATGGACATAACTGTCTTACCAGCTGAAGCTGTTACATTGCATTGTACATCACAAATTGCACAGTACAGTCGTACCTTGGTTTTCGAATAGCTTAGTTCTCGAATGTTTTGGCTCTGCAACACCGCAAACTTGGAAGCAAACTGTTTTTGGAACCTGAATGTCTGACAGGGCTTCCGATTGGCTGCAGGAGCTTCCTGCAGCCAATCAGAAGCCGCGCTTTGGTTTCTGAATGTTTTGGAAGTCAACCCGACTTCCGGAACGGATTCCATTTGACTTCCAAGGTACGATTGTACTAGGTTTTATGCTCTCCAAAGCCACAGGGGACAGGATAACAGTCCAAAGCTAGAGAAAGAGAGAGAGAGAGAGAGAGAGAGAGAGAGAGAGAGAGAAAGGCTGCAATCCTATATATCCTTTCCTGGGAGTAAGCCCAAACTAATGCAGTGGTGCTTACTTCTGAGGAGACACACAAAGGACTGCATTAACAGTATTAATACAAATTCTAAAACAATTACTATACCAATGGACATAAAAGCAGCACTTACTGGCAGTGCTAGGGCGTTTTCTAAAACATGAAACTGACCACTTGTGGTAATGAAACTATAACCCCATAGAAATACCTGTTATTTTAATATTGCAGGGCATGCCAAAGGGGTATTTTCCCACAATCCCACCTCTGCCGTTCAAGTACTTTTGTCCCAGATCCACCTGGCACACTGTGAACTAAAAGAAAACAAAAGAAACCTGCTTAATTCTTTTGACACATGTATGATTGTTCTATTCTAAAGAAAGTTGCTGCACTGTTTCCTCATCTAAGGAAGTTTTAAGTCTGCTTGTTTTTAAGTTATTCCTTGTTTCTAAATCTGAGCTTCAACATTTATCTCTGGAAGCATACGCAAATGAAAACGGAGCGAGAACCTGAAGCCTAGAAGGGCCTCTCTGTTTGGTCCTCAGAACTCTTCCAGGCCTTGCCCTTCAATGGCCCTTCCTTTGCACCCAAAGTGTTCTTGCCTGGCTGGAATGTGATCTTGAACTCTTGATGCCTCTCGCTTGCCTGAATCAGGGCAGTCCAACTTTTCAGACCCCGTGGGCCGTACTTTGGCAGGGAACCAACAAGATGCACACTGCCTTGTTGGGCAGGGGCACAGGCGAGCAAGCCCAAAATGTGACACCCCACCTCCCCACCCCTTGTGCTGCCTTCCCAAAGCCAGGTTGGCCTTTGGGAAGGAGTTGAAAGGCTCTGGTAGGGTCCTAGAGCCCTTCCACCTCCTTCCCAATGCAGGGAAACCACTAGCTAGGCTTTGGGAAGTAGGCCTCTAGGACACTGTCAGGGCCCTCACACCTCCTTCCCCAAGCCCAGTGCCTCACTTACCTGGCTTAGGGAAGGCTGGGGTGGGGTGGAGAGCGTCAAATGTTGCCTCAAGGGCCACATGCAGGCCTTGGGCTGTGCGTTGGACCACCCTAGTCTGGATGAAGGACCATCCTAGTCTGGCTGGTTTTGCCTCAGGGTCCTGTCCACCTATCAGCATGAGGAAGGTTGCTCACAGAAGGGAATGTGGCTGACAAAAGGTTCTGAGGCACTGCAAAATGCTATGGCTAGGATGTTACTGCTGGCTCGGTTTTTGGAACAATGGCCTTCTCCAGCCAGGTGCCCTGCAAACGCCCCGTTGAACACCAAACGCCATTAGTCACATGACCAGTTGTCGGGGATGGCGGAAGCTGCACACCAGCAATCTCTGAAGGGCCATCAGGTTGGGAAAGTCCAATCTGGGGAGGCACATCTCTGCCGCCCACAAAAAATAAGTTGACCTCATTTTGTTTCCGTTGTTGTTCTTTTCCCATACGCTTCTTTTGGAGTTCTGTGGAGAGCAAATTTGCCCTCTCTGTATGATTCAGGAACCAAGTTTATGCTGATATCCAGTAGGGGATATTTGTAATTGACTCATATCAATGCCTTTTTACCTTTGCTTTTCCCCTCCTTCTGCTGCTTCTCCCCAACCTTAAGCATGTAGGCTATGTTACTCTAAAACAATTTCTGCATCAACAGCGCTGCACTGATTCTGTTCGCGATCCTTTACCTGCTCAGAGATAGCCTGGAAGCTGTACAGCCTGACAAGGCCAGAGCTGTGCGTCACAACCAGCATGTTATGAGACAACGTGGCGTCTGTCATGCTGTTTCCAAAGATCTGGATTGAGTGGAAAGAAAATAAATGTACACTTGACAAAAATCACCAGCATTGGTTAGAAACTAGGACCTGGAGCCATACAGGGTGGTATATACTGTACTTTTCCGTGTATAAGACTAGGTTTTTTTTTACCAAAAAATAATGTTAAAAAGGGGGGTAGTCTTATAAAGGTAAAGGGTAAAGGGACCCCTGACCATTAGGTCCAGTCGCGGACAACTCTGGGGTTGCGGCGCTCATCTCACTTTATTGGCCGAGGGAGCCGGTGTACAGCTTCCGGGTCATGTGGCCAGCATGACTAAGCTGCTTCTGGCGAACCAGAGCAGTGCACGGAAACGCCGTTTACCTACCCACTGGAGCGGTACCTATTTATCTACTTGCACTTTCTGCTTTCGAACTGCTAGGTTGGCAGGAGCAGGGACCGAGCAACGGGAGCTCACCCTGTCGCGGGGATTCGAACCACCAACCTTCTGATCGGCAAGTCCTAGGCTCTGTGGTTTAACCCACAGCGCCGGGGGCAATTGCCCCCATCTTCTTAATTCTGAGTCCCTCAAAATAGGGAGTGTCTTATACATGGGGGCGTGTTATGCACGGAAAAATACAGTCAATTTGGGGGGTTGGACTCGATGGCCCTTGTGGTCTCTTCCAACTCTATGATTCTATGATTCAATTTAATAATAATAATAATAATAATAATAATGGCTTCTCAGGCTTTCTAAAACTAGCAATTTGTACAGATTGATGGATTTACTTTCTGAGAACACTCGAAAAGAGGCCAGCTAACCCCTAGGATAACAGACTTACTTTTTTGTCAAGTTCTAGCATCCCGATGAACGAAAGCGGAAGAACTCTGAACACGGCAAGGAAGGAAAGCACAGACTGCTGGATGCCAGCCTAGGAAGGAACATGCCGGAAACAGTTATCACACTTCAGCTTGGGCATGATAAGTCAGAGGTAGTTATGAATTATCGTTATCTTCTTCCTCAAGCACATATAAAGATATTCACTTATGATGGTATAATCTCTCAAGAGAGAGCAACATGGCTACCACTCTGAAAACAGATGCACTAGGGGTGTGGATCGGCTTTCTGTACTTCCCGAATTAAGAGGTGAGTGGGGTGATCTGGATAAGATTGCCCAATTTGGATCGAGCCATTAACAAGCAGTGTTAGAAACTGAGATATGAAAGCTAGGAGCTAAAGGGCACCTTAAACCCAGGTTATGGGCTCGACAACAGAATGTCTAGGCGCACTTTTTTTATAACAAGGATACAAAGCTGAAAATGAAAGAACTGCAGCTAAAATATTAGGTGCATTTTTCACATGGTCTAGTCCTTCCCCTGCCCACCCATCCCCTAATATTATTAAGAGGGTCTCTTCTCCGGTCTTCAGAGAGTGGCTGGAAGTGCGGAGGCAGAAAAAGCTCTTCCTTTCCTTCCACTCTGCAGCTTTAATCAGAAATCTTAGGCGCAGTACTGCGCCCAGAGCTCAGAAACGGCTTGCGCTAAAGAAATTCCTTGTCGCAAAACGTGTCTGGAACAATGGGAGCTTCGAACGCTGTTCACAAGGCATCTTGAGTCAGATCAGGGACTCCCAAAGTTCTGAGATACTTTATAGACTCGGATGCCCCAAGTATCCTTGTCCTTTAAAGACACAGTAATCCCATAAACAAAATCGGGGAGAAACAGTTCCTGAAGCTTCCTGTATAGCGTGACACGAGAAGCAGCCCAAAAGGTCTCCTTTTGAAAGCAAATACTTTCCAGCCAACGTACCTGCTGTGCGGCCGCAGGGAGCTTCAGCTGAGCTGACTTGACAACCATGATCTCTTGAGGAACATCCCAACTTAGATATCTAGTGGTAAAAGGTAAACGGACCAAATAAAAGGTAAACGGACCAAAACACACCAAAATGAAATGCCACTTATTTTCTGGGAAAGTGAACTGCTTTGTTTTCAACGTCCTTTAGAATATGGGGCCCGTGGCAAATCCCTCGCCGAGATGCTTTGAAGACTTCACTCTCTCAGGCCCTTCCTTCTACCAACAGTGGACAGTGGCGCTCTGCTGATCTCTGATGGGTTGTGTTTGTCAGGAGCTCAGCCTACACTCGAGTAGGATCCTGGCAGACACACATGCTCGACTTGCATGTTCCCTCCTTCCTGATTGATCGTTTGGGAGCTTCAAAAGCTTTCTTCAGCCCGAACATCACAGCGACCGATGCCAACAGACACCTGCACACTTAGGGACCCGCAGAGTCTGCGCAGTTCGCATGACAGACCTCAGCAACTTAGCATTTTGGCTAATCTACTTTATTTACATATAAACACACACGGGGCGCTGCAACATGGCTCCCTCTCTCTCTAGGATCAGACAGCAGAGAGAAAACAAAGGACAATAGTCCCACTTCACGGAACACAGTAACACAAACATCCTGTCTCTGTCACTTCCCACTCTGTGGAGTCAAAACACATACTGTCATATGATAAAACAAAAAAAAATTCCTTCCAGTAGCACCTTAAAGACCAACTAAGTTAGTTCTTGGTATGAGCTTTCGTGTGCATGCACACTTCTTCAGATACACTGAAACAGAAGTTGCCAGATCCTTCTATACAGTGAGAAGGTGGGGAGGGGTATTACTCAGAAGGGTGGTGGGAATGGGTGATTGGCAGATAGCTGTGATGACTCATCACAGCTATCTGCCAATCACCCATTCCCACCACCCTTCTGAGTAATACCCCTCCCCACCTTCTCACTGTATAGAAGGATCTGGCAACTTCTGTTTCAGTGTATCTGAAGAAGTGTGCATGCACACGAAAGCTCATACCAAGAACTAACTTAGTTGGTCTTTAAGGTGCTACTGGAAGGAATTTTTTTTGTTTTGACTATGGCAGATCAACACGGCTACCTATCTGTAACTGTCATATGATAGACAACAATCCCATGACTGAAATCACGGAGCAGGAATTCTAACAGTGTTGCTGCGGTGCAAACATAGCAGAGGAGCCAACCTGAGGTTCCTGCATTTGCACCACACTGACCTCGCCACCTCCTCACCCCTCCTGGAAGGCAGCAGCTGACTAGAGGTCGGGTGAGAGCTGCCACCCCATCAAGCCATTCCCTGCTGCCCTTTTCCCATTCTGGAACTGCCAAGAAAAAGGATTGACCTACTTGGACAAAAGGAAGTAAGCAATGGCAGTCACTGTTAAACAACACCTATTATTTAAGAGACTCTGTTGGTAATAAGCAAGCCCTGAAGAAGCGGAAGCATTCTCTCCCCAGTAAGAAAGCAATATTAAAATCATTTTGGAATCAATCTTCCTTGGGACCCAAGCAGCTATCACCTCTTCCAGCTCCCACGAAAAGGCTGTGATTAAGGCAAAGGCCGGTCATAATCTGATAAAGGTTGGCGCTTCTGTCCTGAGTGCATGACTCAGAAATACAGACAATTATCAATTCCAGGGAGAGGCACTTTTGAGTTGGGAGGGAAATTTGGCTTTGTTTGCATTTCAATAAGAAACTGGCTAATCTGTACTTCTCCAATCAACCTGCAAATCGAAAGGCAGCCAACCTCTGAAAGTCACACCTCTCCAGATTGTACAAATGCAGTTCTCCAACCAAACAATACGTAAAGATTTGCATTATATTAGGGGCAAATGTGTGTTAAAATGCATATATAGGAAAACTAACAGACAAAAAAGCACGCAAGGGAAGACTGCTTACAAAAATGCATCATAACATGCAGTTGTTTGTATGCAGTTCTGTATATTAGTCAAATCTACAGCAAACAAATTGGCTTTTTAATGAGAAATTCATATTAAAACGCTGGCTAATTTTCACAGGATTTTTTTTTTAAATGCAAATTGCTGCAGAAATGTGGAGAACTAAATTTAAAGCTGGAAAAATGATATACCACGAGGTATATTTATCCATTCCTACTTGTGAGGCAATGTACTTTGGACTGTGCTGAAGTGAAGTCCGGCTGAGTTCAATGGCTCTTACTCACTAGTAAGTGGACACAGGATAGTGGCCTAGAGTAGTATGCCCCACTAGGAGGGATTTGCTTTCAAGTAAGCATTCATAGGATTTCACTCTGTGCTGAGAAGTAACCCTCAAGCCTACCTTCTTTACCTGAAATTGCAGTGGGAAGTAAGGTACACTTTTTCAAGTATTTCTCCCGTACTTGCAGAAAGGCGAAAGAGCCAGTTGTTTGCTGTCAGAACCAACAAGGAAGGTTTGTAGTCCGATGGAGTCGGCAGCACTTCACCCTGTATTAAGAAATAGAGAATGTTCCTATGTTGTGTATTTTTGTGTTTTTCTTTTGTAAACCGCCCTGTGATCCTCGGAAGAAGGGTGGTATAGAAATTAAATCATTATTAAGAATAGTAATGATAATACAGTGGTACCTCGGGTTACATACGCTTCAGGTTACATACGCTTCAGGTTACAGACTCCGCTAACCCAGAAATATTACCTCGGGTTAAGAACTTTGCTTCAGGATAAGAACAGAAATCGTGCTCCGGCAGCGCGGTGGCAGCAGGAGGCCCCATTAGCTAAAGTGGTGCTTCAGGTTAAGAACAGTTTCAGGTTAAGAACGGACCTCCAGAACGAATTAGAAGAAGAAGAAGAGTTTGGATTTGATATCCCGCCTTTCACTCCCCTTCAGGAGTCTCAAAACGGCTAACATTCTCCTTTCTCCTTAACTCCGTTAAGTACTTAATCTGAGGTACCACTGTAACTACAACCATGGGCAGCTCTCCCCCCATCTCTTTGTTGGAGTCTCAGCTCCTTATCTGTGAAGTGATTCTCAACCGCGACAATGGGTTCGTGTCCCAACCCCAAATAGTGAACCTGTGTGAATACCAGAAGAAGAAGAGGAGGAGGAGTTTGGAGTTGATATCCCGCCTTTCACTCCCCTTAAGGAGTCTCAAAGCGGCTAACATTCTCCTTCCCTTCCTCCCCCACAACAAACACTCTGTGAGGTGAGTGGGGCTGAGAGACTTCAGAGAAGTGTGACTAGCCCAAGGTCACCCAGCAGCTGTATGTGGAGGAGCGGAGACGCGAACCCGGTTCACCAGATTACGAGTCCACCGCTCTTAACCACTACACCACACTGGCTCTCCTACAGAGAAAATGCGAAGCGCTGAACTTAAGGCACCTCTGAACATTTGCTCTACACAATTTGGAGACTTGGTTCACCTCTGACAGTGATCCCAATGGGCTGTGCAATGTGTCCTTGTGGGCAGAACACACAAGCGACACATGACACTCCACTTCTGGACTTGTAACATATGAGCCCCTTCACCCTCCCGTAGCACTCCAGCTGTTATGCGAATGGATATTTTGCCATCCTTACAATCAGTGTTCGAAACTCCTTGTTCCTGGCACATTTTGCGACAGGGAATTTCAGTAGCGTGAGCTGTTTCTGAGCTCTGGGTGCAGTACTGCGCCTAAGACTTCAGATTAAAACTGCAGAGTGGGAGGAAAGAAAGAGCTTTTTCTGCCTCCCCACTTCCAGCTACTCTCTGAAGACCCTCTTAAGGATATTAGGGGGTGGGGAGGGGAAGGAATAGACCTTGTGAAAAATGAACCTAATATTTTAGCTGCAGTTCATTCATTTTCAGCTTTGAATTCTTGTTATAAAAAAGTGTGCGGAGACATTCCATTGTTGTGCCCATAACCTAGGTTTAAGGTGCCCTTTAGCTCCTAGCTTTCATATCTCTGTTTCTAACACTGTTTCCAATATGGAATAATGCAACAGCAACATAGCACAACACAAGCACTTGCTAGTTACAGCAGCCTCAGGTGTGGATTTTCAGAACGTGCACCCTATTATGACTTGCAAACCCATCAGCTGATTCCTTTATAACTTTCTTAAACAGTGTGTTGAGGCTTCACAATCTTGTAAGGAAGCTTACGAAATGATGAGTTTTGTCCACACCCATAGCGTATTTGAACCTGATTACCAGAAGGTGACTGTACACATGTAAAAGCCTGAACAGACAGGAGCTGCTCACACTTTAAAAGATGCCGATTACTTTAGTCCCAAAAGGCGGCTCCCCAAAGATTATTTCATGTGTTGGACTTCTAGTTAAAAGGAAAGAAGGAAGGAAAATAATAATATGCTAAAGATGACACAAGGGAGTCTGGTTCTTGTTTTTCTCAGCAAAGTTGTTTCGTTGGGGGAAAAAAAAGAAGAAATCTTACCACTGGGCATTCCAATAACAAAGCATCTTCTATTTTTTCCGATCTAGGCCGCCTTGGCATTTGATAAATTATCCTCGGCTCTGGTGTGGTGCTGAGAAAGTGAGGGAGGAATTAGAGTATATTATTTCCCATGATTCAAAAAGTCCTTTTAGCTATTATTATAAACAACAATCAAGACTTTATACACACCGTACATATAAGTGCATGACGCCCATGCCCCCAGAATCCTGAAAACTGTAGTTCACCCCTTAGGGTAAAGGTAAAGGGACCCCTGACCATTAGGTCCAGTCGTGGCCGACTCCGGGATTGCAGCGCTCATCTCGCTATATTGGCCGAGGGAGCCGGCGTTTGTCTGTTTTAAGCACCACAGTATTTTTGGGAGACAACGTGGTGCAGTGGTTAGAGTGTTGAACCTTGAACTAGAAGGGGGAGAACAAAGTTCAAATCCCTAGTGTGCCATGGTTATATATATATAAGGTAAAGGGTAAAGGGACCCCTGACCATTAGGTCCAGTCGTGGCCGACTCGGGGGTTGCAGCGCTCATCTCTCTTTATTGGCCGAGGGAGCCAGCGTACAGCTTCCAGGTCATGTGGTCAGCATGACTAAGTTGCTTCTGGTGAACCAGAGCAGCGCATGGAAACGCCGTTTACCTTCCCGCTGGAGCAGTACCTATTTATCTACTTGCACTTTGACGTGCTTTCAAACTGCTAGGTTGGCAGGAGCAGGGACCGAGCAACGGGAGCTCACCCCGTCGCAGGGATTCGAACTGCCGACCTTCTGATCGGCAGGTCATAGGCTCTGTGGGTTAACCCACAGCACCACCTGCATCCCAGTTCATCCCTTACAGAGCTACAATTCCCAGCACCCTTAGCAAAGACCACGTCCTTCCTCTTCTCTCTTCTTCATTCCCTTGTCCCTCCTATTGCCAGACAAGGCAGGGGCCTGGGACTGCCTCTGGCAAAAGCTCTCCTGTTCTCGCCTGTCATCTCGGAAGTGCAAAGGCACCATCAGGGCAAGACGTCTGGGAAGATGTCCATGCCTCACTCAGTAACATGAACCAGCCTCAAAAACCCAGTTGGGCTGGCTTACTGCACTTTGACGTAATGCACGTTACCATCTAAGGAGCTCCTCTGTGTTAGAATTCCTGCTCCATGATTGCAGTCATGGGATTGTTGTCTTTCACATGACGGTATATGTTTTGACTCCACAGAGTGGGAAGTGACGGAGACAGGATGTTTGTGTGACTGTGTTCCGTGAAGTGGGACTATTGTCCTTTGTTCTTTCTCTTTGCTGTCTTATGCTAGAGAGAGAGGGAGCCATGTTGCAGTGCTCCGTGTGTATTTATATGCAAATGAAGTAGATTAGCCAAGATGCTGAGTCACGTGAGATGCGCAGACTCTGCAGATCCCGGTGTCGGTTGGCATCGGTTGCTGTGATGTTTGGGCAGAAGAAATCTTTTGAAGCTCCCGAACGAAAGACCAGGAGGGAGAGAACATGCCAGTTGGACATGTGTCTCTGCCAGGGTCCTACTCGAGTGTAGGCTGAACTGATAACACTCTGCAGGAAGATCATTAAGTCCAGAGCCTAAATTGAACAAGTTGCACCAATGTCAAGGAGAGGTGCATGTATGTTGCGACATATGGCTGCTGTGAACTTCTGTCTGACCACTTCTATCTTCCCCGAATACCATAACCAATATTATTTGATTTCTGTTGGATGCTATTTTTTAAACCTACTGTAAGTGCCCCATAGATGCTACAAATGCAGTGGTAAAGGTAAAGGTACCCCTGCCCGTACGGGCCAGTCTTGACAGACTCTAGGGTTGTGCGCCCATCTCACTTAAGAGGCCAGGGGCCAGCGCTGTCCGGAGACACTTCCGGGTCACGTGGCCAGCGTGACAAAGCTGCTCTGGCGAGCCGGCACCAGCGCAGCACACGGAAATGCCGTTTACCTTCCCGCTAGAAAGCGGTCCCTATTTATCTACTTGCACCCGGGGGTGCTTTCGAACTGCTAGGTTGGCAGGCGCTGGGACTGAGCAACGGGAGCGCACCCCGCCGCGGGGATTCGAACCGCCAACCTTTCGATCGGCAAGCCCTAGGCGCTGAGGCTTTTACCCACAGCGCCACCCGCATCCCTAAAATGCAGTGGTAGGGCAGTCTTAAATAATAATAAATGCAGTGGTAGGGCAGTCTTAAAAACAACTAAGACAGGCAACCTTATCCCCCTTGAGGTTTGGCCGTGGCATGCACAAAATGTCTGAGCCCTTCTTTTCTCCCCTTAAAAGTAAGGTAAAAGGTAAAGCACCCCTGGATGGTTAAGTCCAGTCAAAGGTGACTATGGGGTTGCGGCACTCTTCTCGCTTTCAGGCCGCGGCATCTGTTTATCTACTTGCACTGGCGTTGCTTTCAAACTGCTAGGTTGGCAGGAGCTGGGACAGAGCAACAGAAACTCACTTCGTCGTGGGGATTCGAACCGCCCACCTTCTGATCGGCGAGCCCAAGAAGCTCAGTGGTTTAGATCACAGCGCCGCCTGCGTAGAGCTGGAGGAGGAAGTTGCAAGAGCGACGCCCTTCAAGGTTCAGATTAATTCAACTGGATTTCACTTTTACACCCATTTTTTTCTTTCTGTCTCTCGGGGTGGCGCCAGCTTAAAAAAGGGTTGGTGACTCCTGAACTGATATGACTGTTTGAGAGCAGCAACAACAGTAGCACAATGGCCATGTGTCCTACTTTGCTGAGGACAGTCCTCTGCCTGAAGGAGTCTTCAGTTTGAAGGTCTCTCCGGCCTAAGTCCGATGAAAAGTTAAAGAACCAGAAACAGCAGTGAAGGAGCCTTTAAGCTGGCCTTCGACAATAAAAACTTGAGCAACAGACTGAGCAGGTACACAGGTCACCGCTCATGATCTTTCCCACTATGAAGAGGTGCATTGCATTTCTATTTGAATTCTAAATTTGTAGCTATGCCTATTTGTGCACATATGCAAATAGTATGCAAATCTATCTCCTGAGTTGCCCTCTTTTTAAAATCAAAACATAAATGGCCACCCTAGAGCTGAACCGGGAGCTCAGGGGACAAATATCCCACCTTACTAGACAGGCTATTCTTCCCGGTTACATTTTACCAAAGTCTTTATTTACAGATTTAACCAAAGCACTTCAGCAAACAGCCACAGAGCAAGATTAAAAAAACGACATAAAACGCACGACCACAATTACACCAACAATTACACGAATTCTTAGTTCAATTGTAAAACGACGGACGAAGCAATATCAAAGTGATTTGGGATGCATAAATTGCACAGTAAGAAACAAACTTTCCACTACAAATGGAAACGGCGACAACTCCATTTTTTCTTTTCTCTCAGCTTGCGTGGCAGCATGACTAATACATTCGCTGAACTGCAGGCAGCAACCCTTTTAGGTGTGGCCAAGTGACACGCTCCACTGACAGGAAGGGAACCCCCACTCAAAATGGTCGCCGCCTGTATGCATACAGCTGTGTGCAGGCATGTGCATTCATGCAGTTATTTAAAAATCCATATGCTTAGGATTTCTAAACAACCGCGAGCATTTCTTTTCTTAACATAAATCCTCTCCCGTTTGAAAAACAATTTTGACCTCGGATGTGAATGCAAAAATAAAGAGGTCTTATTTATTATATTTATTTGTCACTTACAAACAAAAATTTTTTTGTCTTAAAGTGACTTACACACACACACACACACACACGTATATAAGATATATGTGTGTGTGCGCGCGCACCCACGTGTGTATATACAGTGGACGCTCGGGTTGCGATTGTGATCCGTGCGGGATGCACGTCTGCAAGCCGCAGCGGCCGCAACCCACAGCAGCACGTCTGCACACGCGCAGGTTGCAATTCAACGCTTCTGTGCAAAGTGCAATTTAGTGCTTCTGCGCATGCGCGACCGCCGAAACCCGAAAATAATCCGTTCCGGAACTTCCAGGTTTCGGCAGTCTGCAACCCGAAAAAACACAACCTGAAGTGTCTGTAACCCGAGGTATGACTGTATATATATACACAGTGGTACCTCGGGTTACATACTCTTCAGGTTACGGACTCTGCTAACCCAGAAACAGTACCTCGGATTAAGAACTTTGCTTCAGGATGAGAACAGAAATCGTGCTCCAGCGGCGCGGCAGTAGCAGGAGGTCCCATTAGCTAAAGTGGTGCTTCAGGTTAAGAACAGTTCCAGGTTAAGAAGGGACCTCTGGAACGAATTAAGTACTTAACCTGAGGTACCAGTGTGCGTGTGTGTGTATGTATATATATATGTGTGTGTGTGTGTGTGTGTGTGTGTGTGTATATATATATATATATATGCTTTCGTAGATTTTCACGGGTACAGGAATGCAGGTTTTGGTGTCCTCGGGTGTCTTCCCGTGTAAAAGTTGGGGTGTCTAGGCGACGTTTCGACGAGGTCTCACTCGTCATCTTCAGGCTGGTGCTTTCGGCTTCTTGTTACTGGAACACCAGACCCAAACCCAGACCCTCTCCACAGATAAATTACAGACACCATCCAGCAGCCAAACCATGGTGGCACCTCCGGATGCTGCACCCCCCTGCAACCCCTACACAGATCTGGCTGGCACAGGCCACAAAACCACAGCTCGCCCCTATACACGAAGCCAAGCCAGAGCACAACTAAGTGCAGTACAGCCATCTTCTCAGAAAAACTCTTCACAAAGTTCAAGAGGTCAAGACACGAAGGCTTTAGCAACTAATCCACACCTAATGACCCACCTAAGTGGTACTCAGGATATCACTCAAGAAATCACTCAAGATATCCCTCAAGTAATTAAGGAACAAAAGAAGAAAAGGCACACTAGCCTGGGAACTTCCTCTCTGCCCAGAACATTGGAGGCTATACACCACACCTCCTCAACAGTATTTATAGGAACTCAAACACTGAGATCCTGCTCTGTTCCAGTAACAAGAAGCCGAAAGCACCAGCCTGAAGATGACGAGTGAGACCTCGTCGAAACGTCGCCTAGACACCCCAACTTTTACACGGGAAGACACCCGAGGACACCAAAACCTGCATATATATATATATATATATATACACACTAACCATGGCACACTAGGGATTTGAACTTTGTTCTCCCCACTTCTAGTTCAAGGTTCAACACTCTAACCACTGCACCACGTTGTCTTCCAAAAAATACTGTGGTTCTTAAAATGAGATATTCCATGCCACTTTGCAATCCTCCATTTTACAAATATTTATGCAGGAGATAGCGTCGCAAGATGGAGGAGAAAAATCACTTCCAAATGTGTGTTTTTTAAATAAAATACCTGCTCACACAGCACCGATAATTGTCGAAATAAATCCTCCCACTTTGATAAGCAATTGGAGATGTGGAATGTGTTGTCCAAACGTTCCTGAATGTTGTACTTTCCTGAAATAAATCACAGTGATCTGTTATAAAAAATGTGGTTTAGGAAATGTACCTGAAATGGCCCTACGTTAATCATTTGTATTTTGTAGTGAATGCAAAGCCTGTTTTCCGTATTAGGCTAAAGGATCCTAGGAATGGAACTCTAGCAAACTGTTTTGTTTTTAATGATTATATACTATTGTAAAAGATCAGAAAAACAGGGATTTTATGAATAAAAACACATTTTTGCATGTAAGAAAGAACGTTATACTTGGTTTAATAAAATGTAAACTGTGCACGGCATTATTACATTTTTTGTATCAACTGAATACATTTTTACTGGCTTCCATTATAGATACAAAGCCTGTACAACAGGAATCTGAGGTCTATGGCTGCAATCGTATGCCTATGTGTGGGCATGCATAGGTTTCAGTAATGTCTTAATTAAGGTGAAAAGAAAACATAAATTAAGAAGTAGAAGTAGCATGTCTACATTACAAATATTTTGGGGTGAGGTTTTCCATCTTCAATTACAAAGTCTTAACTATAGAATCCAAAAAGTTTCTACAATTTCTCATAGTCTATCAGTTACCCTGAGTGATTAACCCCTGAACTGACCTTAGTCAACAACTTCTAGCAAGATAGGGGGCTTTGATTTCATAACCAAGGAGGAGAAATCATATTGGATTATACAGCATGGTTTTTGTTTCGTTTTTTTAAAAATTGATTTTCTTTCTTGGTCACCCTGAGTGGAGCATAGGCATCAGTGGGTCAGAATCTTTATTTTTTTAAATAGACAATATACACATTCAGGAGTAAGCCCAATGAACAAATATGGGACTTGCTTCTGAGTAGATACTTATTGGATTGCACCAACGATAGAACCAAAAGAGTCAGTAATACTGTGTGTGAAACTCATTGATCTTCTGTGTATCAAATTAAAGGTAAAGGGACCCCTGACCATTAGGTCCAGTCGTGACCAACTCTGGGGTTGCGGCGCTCATCTTGCTTTATCGGCCGAGGGAGCCGGCGTACAGCTTCCGGGTCATGTGGCCAGCATAACTAAGCCGCTTCTGGAGAACCAGAGCAGCGCACGGAAACGCTGTTTACCTTCCCGCTGGAGCTGTACCTATTTATCTACTTGCACTTTGACGTGCTTTCGAACTGCAAGGTTGGCAGGAGCAGGGACCGAGCAACGGGAGCTCACCCAGTCGCGGGGATTCGAACCACCGACCTTCTGATCGGCAAGTCCTAGGCTCTATGGTTTAACTCACAGCGCCATGAATTCAGCTGCAACACAGTTTTAATGGGTTTTCAGTACCTATTTACCTGGCATACCAGCTTCCTCAGAATCCCCATGTTTTTTCTATAGACCACACCAGCATCTTTTGTGTGAAATCCCTGTGATCGTCTGGTGAGTGCAAAGCAAATATTTTGATTTTCGAATGCGTCAGCAGAGGGTAATCTGCTTGTGGCAGATAAGGCAGACAAACTGGAAAGCATGTTGGTGGAACATCAAACTTCCACTTGCTTCCACCCAAGTAGTCTAAACAAAAGGGGGGAGGGAGAAAAAAGTTGTTCAGTTAGCCAAATATGGAAATAAACCACAGGAAAAACCAAAAAATCGTCTGTACAATCCTATGTGCTAGATTTGCAGTTTGGAAAAAGGGGGCAAGGCTCCTGCACCTTTACGAGTTGCCTGGAATCAACAATTCTCATTATCATCATCATCATTTATTATTTATACCCTGTACATCTAGCTGGGTTTTCCCAGTCACTCTGGGTGGCTCCCAACAGAAGATTACCGTATTTTTCGCCCTATAAGACGCACTTTTTCCCCTCCAAAAATGAAGGGGAAATGTGTGTGCATCCTATGGGGCGAATGCAGGCTTTCGCTGAAGCCTGGAGAGCGAGGGGGGTCGGTGCGCACCGGCCCCTCTCGCTCTCCAGGCTTCAGGAAGCTATCCGCTAGCCGTGGGAGACCCAGCTCTCCCAGGGCTAGCGGAGACCTTGCCAGCACCCAGAAGCTTGGGGCGCACTGAGCTCCGCACGCCCCAAGCTTCGGGATTATCACAGCTGTCCACTAGCCGTGGGAGAGCCGTGCGACGTCGTGGGGCTCTCCCACAGCTAGCGGAGACCTTGGCAGCACCCAGAAGCTTGGGGCGCGCTGAGCTCCGCACGCCCCAAGCTTTGGGTTTAGCACAGCGCACCTGGGGGGAAAATAAATCCCCCCCTTTATTTCCCCCCCCCCCAAAAAACTAGGTGCGTCCTATGGGCCGGTGCGTCCTATGGGGCAAAAAATACGGTAAATACACTCATGAGCATAACTGGGAGGAGCAGCCCCCTCATCAAGCAAATAAATAAAAATACTTAATTAACTGACCAATCGCGTAGCATTTAGCTCGGTTCTTCCCTGCCCCCCAACATAAATCCTGGCTACGCCCATGAGAGCCCCATCCTATTTCCCCGATCACCCTACTATGGACATCCATGTAATCCTATTCAGGGGTCAGCAAACTTTTTCAGCAGTGGGCCGGTCCACTGTCCCTCAGACCTTGTGGGGGCCCGACTATATATATATATATATATATATATATATTTTGGGGGGGAATATGAACTAATTCCTATGTCCCACAAATAACCTAGAGATGCATTTTAAGTAAAAGGACACATTCTACTCATGTAAAAACACGCTGATTCCCAGACCGTCCGTGGGCGATTGGGTCAGATCCGGCCCCCGGGTCTTAGTTTGCTACCCATGTCCTATATACATCTCTACCCAAAAGTCCCTCCAGATTTTCAAGTGTGCATAGGATTACAGCCTTAGGGTGTTAAGCCCGTGGAAATTCACTCACAGGCCAGTCCCACTGTGTTCAATGGGGCATTCTTTCTTTACCTTGGGATAAACCCCACGGAACTTAAAAGAGGCTTCCTTCTCAATCAAACATGCTCAGCATTGCAAACTGGCAGCGTGCATAGGGCCCCAGTTCCCCCCAGTCAGGGAGACACGCAGGAGTCAACAGCTCCTTCCAAAACTCCGTCCCCGGAATGTCCCCAGATTTGCAACGCTGTCCCCGGGAAACGTGGCAGCAGCAGCCTCACCATCCCCACTACTGACTCCCTGTTGCTAGGTAAAGGTAAAGGGACCCCTGACCATTAGGTCCAGTCGTGACCGACTCTGGGGTTGCGGCGCTCATCTCGCTTTATTGGCCGAGGGGAGCCAGCGGACAACTTCCGGGTCATGTGGCCAGCATGACTAAGCTGCTTCTGGCAGTGGCATAGCGTGGGGGGTGCAGGGGGGGCCGGCCGCACCGGGCGCAACATCTGGGGTTAGGGCAAATCCACGGGTTAGGGGGCGCAAATCCACGGGTTAGGGGGCGCAAATTACTTGCCTTGCCCCGGGTGCTGACAACCCACGCTACGCCGCTGGCTTCTGGCGAACCAGAGCAGCGCACGGAAACGCCGTTTACCTTCCCGCCGGAGCGGTACCTATTTATCTACTTGCACTTTCACATGCTTTTGAACTGCTAGGTTGGCAGAAGCAGAGACCGAGCAACGGGCGCTCACCCCGTCACGTTGCTACTCAGCCTCCAAAAAAAAAAAAAGGGTCCCCGGATTCATTGAAAAAAACCTGGTAACCATAGTTTACACTTGTCTGCCCATCACCAGCGATTGCAATGCGAGCTCGCGTGGCATCTCGCCCCCAACACTTCTCTCTCCGTACACTACCGGGATAGAGAAGGGGAGGGGGGCATCTTTCCAATCCCGGAATCGAGGCAATCCCAGTTTACGTTTCTGAAGGTGCAATCCTCGCGCGTAAACTTACTTGGGAGTCAAGACTCAATGAAACGCATTGGGGCTTCTCCGCGAATGCAAGCAAAGGGGATCAGGGATGTAACCGCAGGCGCTGGATCTCTACGTGATCAGTGTGGAATATGCCGCCCGACAACCGTCCAGATCAAGATCCGCCCAGCAGGAACTTACTCGGGAGTAAGCCCGGTGGCACACGAGGCGGGGCTTAGTGATCGACTCAACAGGCACAGGACTCCATTGCAAACCTTCCAAGCGGGACAGGCTGCCGCTTCGCACAAAGCAACTTTCAAACAATATATAGATATATAATATAGCCTCTTTTTATGTCCTCGCGCGCCTCCGACTACCCAGCGCGCGCGCGCGGAACAACAACAAACCTCTCAGGACCGGCGCAGGAGTTAAAACCGCGCGCGCCTCCAGAACCGGGCCTGTTTCTTCGGCAGGGACACTTTCGTTTCCCCGTCTCCGCCTCTTCGCAATGCACGGCGGAAAACGTAGTTCTTCCCGCCATCAACTACCTCCGAGGGGAACGGAGCGCGAGAGTCTCGGGGACTACGACTCCCGAAACCCTCCGCGCGCGCAAGGGCGGGAGGCCGCGCGCTGGTTCGGGTTTCCCCGGCTTGACCGGCTGCTGGTTTGCAGCGCGGGAGCGGAGGGTTGAGAAGGTTGCACGAAGAAGCCGTGCAAGTGTTAAGGGCAGCGCCTTGCATCATCATCATCATCATCATCATCATTATTATTAATACCCACGCCCTGCACATTTCTGCTTATTTTTTTGGAATACTATTACATTTGATAACTGTTAACGACTGGACGCGAGGAAGCACGTGGATAAGAATCTCCGAAAAGTGTTTTGGGTTTTTTTTGTTGTTTTGGCACTGCATGGCATATAGCGCCCTGAAGGTGAGTTCTTTTCTCCTCGTGGGAATCAAGGTTGCATTAGATCTTACCTTGTTTTCAAAAAACCGTTTTAGTTAAAACTGCTGACCCGGCAGAGAAAAAAAAAACCCATTAAAGCCCTAAAATTAAATGCCCGAATGTCTTAAGGTAGTCGAGCTAAGAGAGCAGTCCTAACCCCGCGTCTGATGGACCATTGAAAAAGATGCAATGGAATATTGAAAAAGATGCAGTAGAAAAGGTTTAAGATAGGACCTACGGAGGGGAAGGTGGGAAGTCCCGAGATTCGGAAGAATATTTAATTGTGGTTGTGTATTATAATTCTATATTTGTAAAATCATTTTAAAAAAAAAAAGAAGGAAAATTGACAATACTGGCGTCGGCATTTGCAGTGCGTGAAAGATACTTTAAATAGAAGCATCTGGGCTTACTTATGCAGATCCAAGGAAAGCTGCTTGAGATTGAAAGGCTCCCACGTGTGCTCGCTTCCTTAGGAGCAAGAGACTCAGTGGGTGGAGCCTCCTTCTGGGCTACATCTTGAACTTTCTTAAGTCGCCAAGAGGGATATGGGAGTCTTTGTGGTTCAGTGGAAACGCTAGTTGAAAAATGGTGGTGGAGGCCCTGTGCCTGATGTGAGGAACTTCTGCCAAGTTTGATATGTCTAAGTCAGTTGTGGGAACCATTGCCTGTGGGTCCCCAGATGATGTTGGACTACAACTCCCATCATCCCTGAGCTCTGGCCTTGCTAGCGAGGGGTGATGGGAGTTGTAGTTAAACAACATCTGGGGACCCGTAGGTTGAGAAAGGCTGCTCCAGATGGTTTTGCTGAACTACAACTCCCATGCCCCCCAGCAGGTGTAGTCAGTGGCAAGGGATGATGGGAGTTGTAGTTCAGCAAAAATATCTGGCAGGACAAAAGTTACTCTCACACGGTCTAATGAGTGAATGCCTTTCGCTGTAGCTAACATTTTGATTTGTGTGGCGCTGAATCTTGAAAATGTTTAGAAACTTCAGCTGGGTCAGAATGCAACAATTAGATTTTTAAGCTGGATTTGCATCTCTCTCCGATTCTTCTGAGTCTACGCTGCCTTCTAGTTTGTTTCCTGGTTCAGTGCAAGGTTCTGATTATAAAGTCCTAAACTCTTGAAACCTGGGTATCTGAAAGGCTCTGTTACTATATTCTAGAGACATCAAGGAAGTCTGCCTTATTAGCCGGAAAAGCATGCGCCGTTTAGGGCTGCTTCCCAAAAGTGCACAGAGCACAAAGTGCACACATGGCTTTTCCCTCAGGAAAGTGATAGATGAGAGGAGTGGGTCTCTTGACTACACTTTTTGGCTTTGCCAGTAAGGCCACCGAAAAATGGTGATTTCTGGTTAGGTTGCAAACAGCTCTTCCTCCTGCCTTTGCTTTAAAAATGATGCCGTAATGAAATTCAAAGAAGGAAACTGTCACCAAAACAATGGTGTTTTTGGTGCAATGAAATATTTGATTGCTATTAGCGATATAGGGTTGACATGCTACACTAAGGTTACCAGATTTTTTTCAAAGAATCCGGGGACACTTAAAAAAAAAAAGATAATAGGATACAGTGGTGCCTCGCAAGACGAAATTAATTCATTCCGCAAGTTTTTTCTTCTTGCGAGTTTTTCGTCTTGCGAAGCATGGTTTCCCATAGGAATGCATTGAAAATCAATTAATGCGTTCCTAGGGAAACCGCTTGCCAGGCTGGCGGTGCGGAGAAGGGCTTTTCTCCCCACCGCAAGCCTTCAGGACAGGTACAGGAACAGAGGGGAAGGCGCGCAGCGCTTTCCCTCTGTTCCCGGGGCTTGCGTGGGAGGAGGGTTTTTCCTCCCCACTGCCAACATTCAGAACAGCATTCTGAATGTTGGCGGTGGGAAGGAAAACCCTCCTCCCACCCCAAGTCTTCAGGAAAGCCATCCGAAGCCGGGCGGCGGGAGAAGGTGTCCCCGCCCGCCGCCCGGCTTCGGAGCATCGTTCCAAAGCCGGGCGGCGGGAGGAGGCGTTCCCGCCCTGCCGCCCGGCTTCGGAGCATCGTTCCAAGCCGGGCGGCGGGAGGAGGCGTTCCTGCCCCGCCGCCCGGCTTCGGAGCTTCGTTCCAAAGCCGGGTGGCGGGAGGAGGCGTTCCCGCCCCGCCGCCCGGCTTCGGAGCTTCGTTCCAAAGCCGGGCGGCGGGAGGAGGCGTTCCCGCCCCGCCGCCCGGCTTCAGAGCATCGTTCCGAAGCCGGGCGGCGGGAGAAGGCGTTCCCGCCCCGCCGCCCGGCTTCGGAGCATCTTTCCGAAGCCGGGCGGCGGGAGGAGGTCCGAGGACAGTGGGGAAGACGCGCTGCGCTTCCCCGCTGTCCCGGAGATTTCCCTATGGGCTTTCGTCTTGCGAAGCAAGCCCATAGGGAAATTCGTTTTGCGAAGCGCCTCCAAAACGGAAAACCCTTTCGTCTAGCGGGTTTTCCGTCTTGCGAGGCGTTCGTCTTGCGGGGTACCACTGTAATATCTTCTCGTCTGTGGTCTCCTCTGTCGCATGGCCTTCCTCTGGGCCCTGGCCTGCTCTCTTGGAATGCTAGCCGCCGTGGAGCAGGCTCAGGCTGGGCCTGGGCTCAGCCATGTGTCCTTGCACTCCTGGTGCTCTCCTACCTCTCCTTCACAGCGGCAGCGGCAGTGGTGTGGCAAGGTGAGGGCTCCCCTTTTTTTTCTCCTTCCTCTTTCTCTTTCTTCCTTCTCCTTCTCCTCTCCTCCTTCTCCCTGCATCAGCTCCTGGGTTTTTCTGGCTCCCGGCTCGATTTGGGTCACGGGGGGTGTGTGTCAGCGGTTCCCCCAGTTGATGCACCGGATGTCCCTGGTTCCCCAGCAGCAGTCTCAGCAGCCAGGAGCCAGCCTGGTAGCGCAGTTAGCTCTGGCTGGCTTCAGGAACTGCTTGCTGCTGTGGCGCCCGCCATTTTGCCTCGCCGGAAGTCCCCATATGATGTGTCTTGTGCCGTTGAACCAATCACGCAACATTCATTCCCTAGTAATAAAACTAGAACACTTAAATATAAATCTGTGGACATTCCCGGGATGGATTTTTGTCCGGGACAAATTTGTAAATCCGGGGACGTCTGGTAACTACACCTCTCCCCAGAATAGTGAAGGTTTTGGAATCCTTTGAGGAGCAACTGAAAGTGATGGGGAATGTTTAGCTTGGAGAAGAGAAGATTAAGGAGGGGCACGTATTGCATTGCATTCAAATATCTAAACTGCTCTCATGTAAAAGATGGAGAAGACTCGTTCCCTGTTGCTCCAGGGGGCAAGGCGACGGCTAATCCGTGGAAAGCAGATCTTGGCTAAGCATTAGGATAACATTGATTTTGGTAAGAGCTTTGACTATGGAGCAGATGCCCTCAGGATGTGCTAAGCTCTCCATCACTGGAAGCTACCGTATTTTTCGCTCTATAACACGCAGATTTTTTCTCCTAAAAAGGAAGGGGAAATGTCTGTGCGTGTTATAGAGCGAATGTGTGGTCCCTGGAGCCAAAAAATCAAGCAAAAGTCAAACCGCGAGTCACGGAGAAGGGAAACCTGAAAAGAGGAAGTGGCAGCTTTCCTGCATTCTGCCTCAGGGTCTTACTGCCCACCCTCCTCTGTTTCCTTGCTGTGATTGCTGAAACGGAACAAAGAGCAGGGGAAGCCCCTCCCCTCCAGGCAAGCAGAGTGTCGTTCTTTCTAATTCCTCTCTGTGCTCCGGTGCTGCTGGGGGAGAGGGAGAGAGAGTGGGGGAGGGAGAGGGAGAGGGGGGGAGGGAGAGGGAGAGAGAGGGGGGGAGGGAGAGAGAGAGAGAGAGAGAGAGAGGGAGAGGGAGAGAGATGGCTGGCTTGGGGGGGAACTTTTGCCTTTCTTTCCTCCCACCCCAAATCCCTCTCCAGCATTCTTAGCCAGCTGCTTCTCTGCACACCCCTCTCATGTCCCTTCTTTGTTTTTCCTTCGCTCCCCACTTAAAATGTGGTTACAAAGCATAGATCAACATGGATCCTCAGGATCTTTGCATTGGGTCACCCCAAATTCACCATCAGATCACATAGCATGTCCATGGCTACAGCCTGCACCAAAAAAATCACGCACCCACTGTTGCCTGGGGCTGCAATGGTGCAAAAACGTGGTTAAAAAGCATGGATCCACATGGATCCTCAGGATTTTTGCATTGGGTCACCCCAAATTCACCATCAGATCACATGTCTGTGGCCACAGCATGAAGCACAAAAATGATACACCCACTGTTTCATTCAGAATGTTTTTTCCCTTGTTTTCCTCCTCTAAAAACGATGTGTGTGTTATGGTCAGGTGCGTGTTATAGAGCGAAAAATACGGTACTTGTAATGGCTACTAGTCACAGTGACTGTATTCTACCTCCACCGTCAAAGGCACTTCTGAACGCCAGTTTCTGGGGATTGCTGGTGGGCAGAATTCTGTTATGCTCAGGTTCTACTTATAGGTTTCCCACAGGCATCTAGTTCTCCACTGTGAGAATGGGATGGAGTACTAAATGGGCCATTGGCCTAATTCAGCAGAGCTTTTCCTAGGTTCTTGTGTTAAGTATTTGAGCAGAGACCAGGCGATGCTGCAGTTCCAGATCTTGCATTGAGCCTCTGAAACACCTTCCAACTTGATGATTCTCATAGGCTGTTCCAACTCGATGAGTCTATGAAACACATAAAATAGGTATTGAAAATCTGTAATCAATTTAAAAGGCCACAAAAAAGACTAAAATTGTACCTCAATTGCTTGGGGGAAATAAAGGTGTCAAAATGTCAATAAAGTAGATGTCGGGCAAATCTTTCCTGGGAGTTTCTTCAGCAGTAGATTATTCAGGATGGTGCTGTTGGGCCTACTATTAAAGGGCTACATGAACACGTTTTGCAATATGTTGTTGAAAGTCAAGTGATCTGTCATTTCTTTAGCAATTAAGCTGTACCATAGTAGGCTGGGCTGACACGGGAGCTGGGCATGTTTAGCCTGG